AATGCATTAAGGAAAGAAACAAAAAGATGAAGATAGAATCTGCTAGAAGTTTAACAAGCGAAACTTGCATCTCATTCCTGAAAGAAATCCTGCTTTTCCCTAGAGCCCCTCAAACTAACACAATTCATCGTACAATTTCATCACCTTATTTACCTTTAGCTTGGGCAGCAGAGCTGTGAGAATATCCAAGGGATAGCAATGCCATTTCGATCAGTTGGTTGAACAGCATGTCCTTCCTCACCAGCACAAATTCTGCATGCTCCTCCTTGGAATCGTACTCAATGGCATTTTCATAATGTTCCACTACACAGAAAACTGGAAGCATACTTCCTGTAAAAAAAAAAAAAAAAAAATTTCATGTATTAAACTGAAGTAATAGTAGAGTATGTGGGTCTACAAAGCGTTATGTAAATAAAACCTGTATGAACAGGCAGATGAGGCATCAGGAATCATCACAAATATTTGATAAACATATTCCCGGAGTCCTTTCCCCTCAACCTCCTTCAAAAAGATAAAGTTCTGCAAAACATCGCGCTCTATGAAAAGCAGAAATGCAAATTTACCTTCCTCGATGGGATACAGATGAAAGAATTACCTGCTATAGGAATCACAAGGTTAACTGAAGAGAAGTTGATTCTCTCTGTCCTGCCTGATTTGTTGTGAGTTGCAGGCAGCACGAGAACCTAAATACACACTGCAGATGTCTTCAGTGTGAGCCATTTTAGTACCAGCCACATAATTTTGTTCGTTAACACTAAAACTTTCTCAGTTCTGCCAAAAATATTTCATTACCTTCAGCATCGACAACAAATCACCTCGCATGTTATACATTCACTCTGAAAAGGGCACCCGAGGAAACAAGGCAAAAGTTAACGCTAATTCATGCCTCATTCATTGAGTACACTTGAGCACCACTTTCACTCGCATCTTTAAGAAACAAATCATGATTTCAATGCCATTTTAAGGAGCATACCTGCAGTTTGAGCTTTTTTTCTGTTGCTTCATATACGCACATTCAGCATTCCTGGTATTCACTGCTATTTCGGTATGCCTGAAACCAATTACTAATTTCCAGTTCCGTAGCATCTCATGACAGACCCTTCCCTCTGCCTCTGCTCTAAATATTAAGCAAACAGCCTCTTTCCCTTTTTTTTTTTTTTTTTTTTTTTTTAATTATTTTTAAAATTCCTTCTTGACAACAGGCAGAATTACTAACCAACAACCCAGGCTGTTTTAGGGAAGACGACGTCCCTTCCAGCAGCCAGATTTCCAGACTTGGAGAAAACCACCCCCCACCCACGGCCAATAAAGGACACCTTATCCCACTGCCTCAGGTTCAGCCCTGTCCCAGGATAGAATCTCCCAGAGACAGAAAACGAAAGGGTTAAAAGCAGATGTACCGAACCGCCTTATGGCAGCCTGCCAGAGGGGTATCATCTTTAGCATAAATGATGACAAGGGTTATTTTAACAGGGCACCCAGGAACTCCAATTAGTCCTACAATGTTAATGCCTCTATAACCACTGCCCTCTAGACTGACAGAGCCTCCTAACCTGCTCTGGTGCACAAGGCATCCTGCAGCTGAGAGAGGAGATTTACTGTTGACAACAGAAATGCTTTAAGATCACGTCTGTTGATTTGTGCTCTAACATACAGCAAGAAATCACAGTAAAAAAAGATACCTTTTAAGCTTGTATATTTAAACTACATCTGCTCACCAGAGAGTCAATCTTTGGCAAACAAACCCCTTCAGGCTTGCAGGAAAAGCTCACAAACTCACTCCAATTTGCCCAATAGGCTCAGCATGAAAGACAGGACTAAAAGCTTGCCAATATTTAGGCAGTGCAGGAAGGAGAGTTTTTTCGGGTTTTTGTGTATTTTTTGTTGTTTGTTTGTCTTTTTTTTTTTTTTTTTTTTTTTTTTTTTTAAATCTCACTGAGACTGGTCAGGAAGGGAAAAAAGACCAAAGCAAAAGCAGTACATGCAAACTGGTGATTTCTTCATTGCTTTTAATTAAGCTGTAGAGAGCTTTCCAAAACATACACACGTACTTCATCTGCAAAAAGGTTTTGGTTCTTTCCTCTCCCTCCCCCCTTCACACTCTCACAATTGATGTTTCACCTACTAACATCTGTCTGAAAGAAAGGACTCAAAATTCTTAAGTAGTTTCACTGCTAATACCTGAAGATAAAAAGTAAACAAAGCTTCATTTTAGCAAACAGGGCATACACAATCAAAAACAGCCAAGACAGATTTGTCCTTTTCCTTATCAGTTGCTACAAATCAGGTTATGATTAGATAAAGCTAGCAATGCACAGGTACTGCATTGTGTGCAGCACACTTTTTGACATGTATGCAGGACTTAGAGTATTCTGAAAAAATGTACTTTAAACAGCACAGGAGAAGCTCCTGGCCAAATTCCTATGTCCAGCATAGCTTATCAGAGGTGGATCCTGGTAGCGCGACACAGGTCTCATCTGACTACAAATCAAGCTACTAAATCTTTTAGCAAACTGTCACTCGTGTCCTTCTGTTAATGTGAAAAATGTTGTACAGGAGAGCACAACCTTAGCTGGCTGATCTCTCCTGCTAGTACTTGGAAAGACCTCCAATTGCAGCAACTCCATAACCTTCTAGTATTAAAGGGGAGAGCACTGGTCAGTGCTCGCTGCTAAAAATACAGCATGATTTAAACCTGAAAGCAGTGTTAGAGCTTTTGCTGAAGGTTTATGAGTCTGTGTAAACAGCACGTCTACCATAAGGAGCAGTGAAGTCTGTAGAATCCTTGTCTAAAACTGTCCTGGCATTAAAGTTTGCTGTGCAAATATCACATAATACCAGAGACAGCTGAAATCTCCTATTTAGGAATTTATGGAACTTATATGTTTGCAGGCGTCAGAAAGTCCTTTTTATATAGCCCCACTGCTTCACTGTACAATATTAATGCACTCTGCTTGAAAAGCCGTAATAAATTATATTTTTAATGCTCTTACCCTGGCTTTCTTAAGATGCGTACATTCTTGGCAAACAATCAATAAATAGGGTAATCATGAGCAGAGGCCAAAGAATTTGCTGAAGTGCTGTTTTGCCATTTTTAATAGATAAAGATCTAACAATACGGACTGCTGTGTCTGTTCATCTCAGGATCAATATATTCTTTGTTTTCGCCAAAGCGAGGAAAAAAATAAATGATTGTATGATAAATGTTATGCATCAGACACAATGAAATTCCTCTGCCTTCTAACTTTGTGCGTTTAATAGTCTCGGTTGCATTTTTCACTTAGCTTAGCAAACGCAAGAAAAATCTGGATTATAAACATATACCAATTGTACAAAAGTAAAGGCTGCTTTAATACAAATGCAAAATTACATACAGCATGTTTCTATTTAAATTAGCAAGCCTGCAGAACGTGGTCAAAAAAGGGGTTATATATTTCAGTATGCGAAATTTATAGGTTTTTGTTCACTGAAAGTATTTTTAAGGCAAACAAAAGCAATTCACATACAAACAACAGTGATTCTAAACGTGTCTTATCCTTGTGTAAATGTCTAATTACAGCAAACCAGCCACTGAAAAATATGACACCCAAGTTGTTCATTGTTCAAAAATGAATTGTACTTAAGAAAATAAACTGTGAAGATTGACATCATAAATGACTTTTCCAATGTGATACCTCAAGATTTCCACACTCGCTTTTTAAAAAAACAACAGAAACTTCCAACTGTTATGGAAATACTGCTATCCTCCCAAGATTGTACCATAATTCAGAGGAAAGGCAAGAATTTGTTTTGGGGGTTCAGTCTTTATTTGTACAGATTTCTGCATTTCTGAGCCCAACACGTACTCTAAGAATTAACGCATTATATTACTTCTATTTCAATGTAGGAATTGGCTTTAATCAGGACAGCTAGCCTTTACCTTAGCAAAAATCAGACTCCACCCTGTAAAGCAAGATGCTCCACCCAAGCATGAAGCTTACATTTCCCAAATGTGATTTATATCAGAATTGGGAATATATAGTATTTTAGAATGGAGATTTAATCCTGAAATATAAATGAAGTAGAATCTGCAAAAGTATGCTTCCCCCCACAAATATTATAATTCATATTTCTCAAATGCAGAATTAAAAAAGTGTTACCTTTTCTAATATTAGTTTTCATCAGGTGTCCAGAGTGTTTTAAAGGCACTCCTTGCATTTTAGTTCCTGTACTTCCAAGTCTTCCTCTTCCTAATGGGCTCCCATTCTGTTCCAAGCGCGCAATTTTGGCTGGTGGACCCTTCGGATCGCTTACATTGTTAGACATTTCTGAATGTTCTTTCCCCTGAGTTGCCTCGTTCAAATGATCCATACTCAGTCCCGCCTCTAAAGATCACCTGCCATGATTCAAAAAAAATATATGTTGTACACGTGTGCGCATATGTATACGTACACAGCCTGCACATGTACAGAGATGTATATGCATCATAAGCCTATAAGGAAGAGCAAATAACTATTTTAAACAAGGCAGAAGATGCCTTAAAAAACAAAAACAGAAACAAACCAACAAACTTCTCCAAAAAAATGACCCCAGTTTATAAATTAATCACCATAATCCGATTATTTTTTAAAAGCCAACTAGAGTACCTCTTTAACAAAACCTTCCCAAATATTCTTATAAATCTGGCAGAAACTAAGACTCATAGAAATGATGACGTTTGTCAAGATACATGCTCCAACACAGCTATTGTTACAAATCGCACAGGAAGATTTGTTATTAATCCTGGGTGGTTTTATTGTGTTACAAAAAACGAGAGGGAGAGACAGAGAAAGAAAAAGATTCCAGTGAAACTGTACTTAATCTACTCGATAAAAAAATGGATGCACAACAATAGAGAGATTGTTCAAACTTTAGCTGAGGAAGCAACAGATTTATTAGTGAAGTAGAACATTGTCCATTTACAACTTCACTCCCACACTTTAAAAATAAAAACTAGAAGAGAATTTAACATTTGACTTCAGAAAACAGCGGTGAGAGGCGGTTACTTTGAGTTGCCCGATTGATTTTTTTAGGAAAGTTCAACAACTTTTGCAAAGTTTAAGATAAGCATATGAAGAATTCTTAAGGCATTAGGCTTTCACTGTTAAATAGAGCAGTCCCTTATTTTTAATTTTTTTTAAAACTAAGAGGAAGAAAGGCAGCATCTCACAAAGCACAGCGCTGAAAAAAAAAAAATAAAAATCACAATTTCTACAGAACTTTCGAAAGCCTTAAATATAAAGAATCTCTTGGTGATCTGAAGTTACCTACTCGCACAAATATACAAAACCCAAATTCGGAAGTAATTTCAATAACAAATTACAAAAAGGCGTATGTTAGCTTGCCTGTATTTCTCTTTTCACAAACTTTCGAAACCACAGTCCATGAGTAACAATTCCAGCTAAGTCACTAAAAATCCCCAACGCCTAGAACATAACGCAGCAGGTTTTGAGGATTTTTGCCACTCATCAGAATCTATTTTACCAAGTATAGGGGCCATCAATTGCTGACAAGCGAGACATCTTTCAGGTTATGATTTCATTCATCAATACTGTTATGATTGTCAGGGATTTTACCCTGCCTTTCTCTGACAGAGAAAGGAGTGACTGCGCTGACAATTACGCCATGCGTCTAAGATAATCACTAAGGACAGGTGACTAGACATTAATTTATGAACTAGTTTTTACATTACTGAGTGCAACTACTAATACTGGGGAAGTTCTGTTCAGAAAGACTGGTGTGAATCTGATAATTGCTACTTTCTTTCAGTTGCCTAGTAATTCAGCACATTTTCCGCACATTTCATCGCAAAGCTATTAAAGCATAAACGTCTCAGGAATTTTTCATATATGCTATTCTATGTCATTGATATATACAGCAATGACAATTCTATAAGTTGCTTTTTGTCGTGTGAACACTGCATTGCTTTTCCCGATAGAGCGAAGAAGGAGGTAATACATTAATCTGAACGTTTACAAACAACCTAAAGAATGCCAGAGAACAGCCAAAGTTTAGAAAATCATTATTTTTCCTCACACTCTAAGGTGACACACTAAGGTTTCCCATTCATCTCGATCCCATCTGCTTTAGGTCGCATGTTTCATTAACGGAAAACATGCTTATTTTAGCCGCTTTGGGATGAGTATTCCCTTTTTACTGTGTTAACTGCAGTCCAAGGAGAGAATTACAGTCCCAAACCCTTAACATCTTCTGACATTTCTGATGATGCTGACGTGCTACAGAGCTGCTTTTCTGGTCCTTCTCAAGAATAAGAGGATTAAAATTAAAAAATAAAAATAAAAGGGGAAGGACGATAAACAAACAAACAAAAAAAAGCTTCACATAAGAAAATCCTCATCACTTTTGGCAACTTGGGAAGTACTCTAATTGCACCGAAGCTCTTTGCTACAAAAAGTATCTAGTCATCATGAGTCAGAATCGCACTCCATCATGTACAGTGCATAAAAGTGATAGATCGCCGCTCAGTTACTGCCCTGACTGCAACCCAACCACCAAATGGGTCATTTCACTCGGCCTTGGAATACCCACCCCATCGGCATCCTTTCCCCGCTTAGTCATCTTGTAAAAAGCTTTATGTTACAAAGCAAAATTACATGCACATAAAACACCTAATTTACTCATTTAAACTCCATGCCCAAGGCTAAAGTTCACTGAAACCTCAGCGTGGAATAGTGATGAGCACCAACCAGCGGGGCCTGCCCAGGGAGAGGGCTGCAGGGAGCAACTATTCTCCGCTCCGCTGCCAGGCCGACTGTCCTCGGCTCTCGCATTCAGGCATCTCTCCCAACTACAAGTTCTCAGCACGGGCGTACGGGGCTGAGCACATTTTCGAGGCACGGTTTCCCAGCGCCCGGGCACACCGCGCAATTTCTGCATGGGAACTGGCCGGGGTCCCCTTTTGTCGCGACGCTATTCTCTCGGTTCTTTTTCTCCTCCCGAACCAGCCCCCTCCCCATTCGTTTCCCCTCCTCTTCCCTCCCTCCCCCATAAAACCCCATAATCACATTTGAGAGAGGCTCCGCACTTATCCGTTCCATATGGCTCTCGCGATCCAGGCCAAGCTTTCGCTGTGACCTTTTAAAGAGACAAAGAAGCAAAGTACTTATCTAGAAACAGAAACACTGCAGTTTTCGGAGTGAAATTAGCAAAACCGACCCGAAACTCACCACTTCAAAACTTGACAGCATATAAATAACAAAAACAAAGGAGGTTTCCTTTGCAGACCGAGCTCTTGAGGAGGAAGAAGTTCGAGAGTGATGTTTTCCTAGGTCCCCCCTTTCTGGGGGGTGCGGGGGGCAGCAGACCTGAGGGCTACTTCCCCTAATATTCTTTTTTTGTTGTTGTTTTTTTCTCTTGTTTTCTTGTTGCTATTTTCCTTTAGGCGGGGAGGGGCAAAAATAGGTAGCGAGAAACAGAGTAGCCATGAGCAAAAATGGCAATGGACAAAAAAAAAAAAAAAAA